ATACCATATTTGAATATTTTAGCCAAGAAAAATAAAGCTGGTGTCTTTGGTAGCATATTGTATTATTTAATAATAATGATAACAATAACAATGATATAATGATAACATTATTATTATTTATTAGCCCCTATCTTTAGAATTTTTATATTGTATATTACATTTCGTGTTACACTATTTTTCAAAGAAAAATATGGATATTTTGTGAAAAAGGAGAATTGTCACTTTCTGCAGGATTTCTTCATATATTTTGCCAAATACAAATGCGCACAAGAAAATCTATGTTTTCATATACATACGTATGCAATTTTATATTTTGCTAATGCAAAAAAAATGCAGGATTTTACTGTAAACACTTCATCAGTCCTTCTGATGCTGATGATTGTCATTTTTCACTGTCAATATATTTTTTAGGATATTTTATAGTATAGGCACCCTCTTAATGGCACACATGTGTATCTTGTGTATCTAGCAAAGTTTTTCCAACAATATGTACAATATTTTCTATACATGTTAAGCTTCAATTTTATAATACAGCTTACCAATTAATATGCTGAAAAAAATTTGAGAAAAGATTGTGTTTTTCATATTATGTAAATAATGTCAAACTCACATTGTTTTCAAGCCACAATTAGACTTTGGTAAAAGTAGCGATGACTGACTTGTTCCTGTTTTTGTTTTCTCCCGATTAGGTGGGCTTTGAAGATGTCATCGCTGAGCCGGAGTCCGCTCGGACCGTAGACGGGGTGTGGATTTGTAGCCACGCCACATTTGAGGTGGTCAAGTTGGGCCTCTACCGGCTTCTCGGGGCGCTGCTGGCCGTGCCCCTTGCCTTTCTCCTCGGACTCGTTTTCGCTGTGCTCAGCCTCATACACATCTGGTATGGGATCCTCGCGATTGAATCTGTGCTTTTTCTTTGGCTTTAGAGACTAAAAATATGCTCAGGAAGTGAGCACGCCTAAATATCATGTGACCACACAGACCAAAATTGTCAAATTATGAGAACTGGCTGTAACATTATTGTGAGACAAAAGTTGTAATATTAAGAGAGGAAACTCGTAATGTGCCAAAAAGTTGTGACATCACGAGAATAAAGTTGCAATTTTACAAGAACAATGTTGAAATGTTGCACAAAAACAGTAGTGATTTCAACAATTTATAAAGAAAAATAAAACTAAAAATTAAAAACTTTGAAGTAAAAGAAAAATGTCATTTTATGTGAATACTTTTTTAACATTACCAGAAAAATGTCTAATATTACAAGAATAAAGTTCAAATTTTACAAGAATTCAACCATCATATTATTGTGAGGAAGAAATTGTAATTTTACAAGAATAAAATTGTAATACTTTTTGAAAAAGATTTTTATTAATAAGAGAATAAAATGGAAATATTTTCAGAAAAAAAGTATAGATTTATGAGAATAAAGTTGTATGATAATACTACAAAATAAAATCTGAATTTTTCAAGAATAAAGTTGTCAAAAAAATTGATGAATTTACAAGAGTCGATGCTAAGCTCATCCGCTTAAAGTTGTCATTTGTGTTAAAAATAAACGCTAAAATATGGTACTCAGAAATGAAAGTGAGCTTTAAAGAGCCCAGCAGACTATTATGGGATGTTTGCACAAGCTCCTAAGGCAAACATTGACACAAGGTATTTATACAGATTACGTCACTTTTCAAAGTAGTGAGCCCTTCTCTCTCTACACGTATTAGGATCATGAGTTGTGCTTTTTTTTTTCCAACTGATTACATCATCACACGAGCCACCTGGATACTGTTAGGCAGCAAGCTAATGAACTAACAAGCTAACCCAAAGAAATCGCTCGTTAATGGGAAACACTTGTCGTCATGTGCCAAAAAGAGAGCCCTAGGAAAGTTGGCGTAAACGTGTGCCCCCTCAAAAAAGTATCACAGAGCAGGGGGGTGGGGCCGGGAACGGAAAGTTGCTTAACATGCTATTCGACATGGAAGTGGGACACTTTTCAGTCCCTTGGCGGCCATGTTGGAGGCAGGAATTTTCTGCGAGGGAGATGGGAAGCAAATTTCAGGCATTGGAATGGCCGCAGACATGAAGTCCCAAGTTCAAAATCAACAGATTTTTACTTTGACAGTCTCAAGACAACTCAATCAATTTTGACTTTGAATCTCTGCCGTCTTATGTCGGACGCTATTCAAAATGTTTGTCCAATGCCGCTAAGCTAGCTGTGTGAATGGTGAGGCTAAACTAGCTAGTGTAGCTCATCCGTTTAGCATACCAATAGTTGGTCAAATATTAACTAAACTTGATGATGGTTATGCATTTTACTGAGAAGACAATAGAAAGTGATCGTTATTTAAGTATAGACATCTATACATCCATTCCACTTTGAGTACTTCTTGTCGTGAGTGTGTCAGCCATATTTGATGTGGCAGGACCCCGTAAACTAATACGTCGGTTTCAGTCAACTTCATAAAGTGACGACCTATAAAGTACTAAAGTACTTAATGTTATTGCCTCTCTTTCATCCATCCACACATAATTATAGGTTTGAGAAACAGATCGGCACCAAAAACAATGTATGTTGTTTTTAAATCTGATGATTATATAAGTTTATTCCCCCATTCAGAATATTTCAATATTTGTCATCATGGAACAGCGTGACACTCATTCAAATGTTAGTAGATGATGTACTTTTTGTTATGATATTGAAAAAAAATGTTATATTGTGACTCGGGGACTTCTTGCTTGAACTTGACTCAACTTGCTTGAAATTTTGTGGTGACTCGACTCGATGCTTGAGTTTTTTTTCCACGGTGACCTGGGACTTGCTTGAGAAATTCACATTTTGCCTATACATCTGTCAGATTGTGTTCGATGATGTACTTTCAAAATCAACCCATTCTTGCTTTCACAATCCCTTTCACAATCCCTTTCGACTGTATCCCCTGTCGTAACCATTTTGAATTTTTGGGCCCCTCGCAGGCTGGTGATGCCGAGCATCCGGAGCTTCCTGGTAGTGCTGCCGTCTCTGCAGGTGGTGTGGAGGAGCCTGACGGACACGTTTGTCATGCCGTTCTTTCGCAGCCTGGGCCGGAGCTTGTCCACCGTCCACGTCCAACACGTGGAGCAATAAATCCCGACTGGGCGAAGACCCACACAAGATGGAGTCTCTGTGGAGATGTTGCCAATATGGACGTGTTCGAGCTTTGAGGACAATGGCTCACAGAAAGGGTTCCACCAAGGTCCATGAGCCGTATCTTGGGGTCCACAAAATAATTTGTAATCCTTTATTATGTGATATCATTTTAACAAGTGCATACCTTCATATCGTGAGCCACATAGCATGCTGTAGTTGCTTTTCGGCAATTGTGCTACTAAGCTAGCTATATTTATATGACATAGCCACATACATATTGGACATCCCTGCATGAATAAAGTCAGCGTTTACTTTTTAGAACAAAAGGCGTTTTATTACAGGAATAAAGTCCTTTTTCTGGTCGAGTTTTGGAAAAACTCCTACGCCTAGGAGAACACGAGGTAGTTAAGTTTAACTGTAAAAAACAATTGTCAGAATTCAGAAGCCTTGAAACTTTGACTTTCATCATGATATCACGACTAGGTAACATATTATGTAATTCTCATACGCTAAAATTATATCTTGACAAGTCAATTTATAAGTAAAAACCTCTCGACAGTAAACGTCCAATTTGGGCTCACTTCAACTCTGTTTGGATCCCAGATTTTGTTGTTTTCATGTAGTTTGACTTTATATTAAAATAGGGACAAAACAATTGGGCGTCCCAATACTTGTGTTCGCGCGATGTCTTCTAATGAAGATGAGCGAGACATAATTGCAGAGTCATGTTATGTTGGCTGAATAAATATTGTAAGATGAACAGGGAGAAAAGACGCAAGCTTGTCGCACTTTCACTGGCTGTTTGTTTTTCTTTGATTCAGAACATCAAACTAATATAAATAAAGATTGTTATTCTGTCTTCTCATGAGTGACTTGTCATACAGCATGCTATTCAATTCCCCTTTTTTCCCCCTAAGAATACAATACAATACAACACATCCTGATTTATATAGCGCTTTCACAACAGCTGCAGCTGATGACATGACCTTACTTGTTAGCGTAATGAACATTTTTCGCATATTTTTTTCAAGTTTCATTTTGCCCCCTTCCCAATAGAAAATGATCTATATTTAACATTCTGATTTTATTCTCATATTAAAAACCACTTGGTTTAAAAGTTTTATTCTAAATATGATGAATTTAGTGAATTTTTCCATTTTTGTAACATTGCTGCTTTTAATATGGATTATTTTCTTGAAATTTATAGAACAATATCCTCATAACATGATGAGTTAATAATGTTCTAATTATATTCCCATAAGAACTCCTTTCTTGTCATGTTGCGAAAGTGAAGCAAAAAAATATTCTTTACAATAATATGTTCTATGCAGCCTTGCTTATGTAAACGTAGCATTCTGATCAATATGGCGCTTGTGGGATATGAATCAAGCACACAAAGCATCCGTTTCTATTCATTTGAGAGGCGGCCATTTTGCACTTGCTGTCGCATGAAAATGACATCACAGACTAAGGGCTCAGGTGACGACCAATCATGGCTCGTGTTTTTTTTTTGGGGGGGGGGGTGCTTTGGTCAGGTGACGCTCGGCCAAGCCGAGCCATGATTGGTCGATACCTGAGCCCTTTCCATCAGGGAAAATTTATTTGACATACTAAACTGACAAACTAAATTGAATTATGAGCTGGGTACTTATTTTGTTTGTTGAATGCGGCCCTTATGCAGCTTGATAAACGTTTATTCATGTCAGTCCCCCACGACGCCCGCCCCATTTGGTCGATGCAGTGTTGGCGCCACTTGATCTGGCTTGTGCTGAACGGCGCGTATATAAACACCTTGTCTGTCCCAATTAACGCCCACTCCTTGGCCAACAAGAACCCGCTTGTATTCTGCCTGTAGCATGCAAGTCATTCCACGCCACACCAGCACTTCTCTTACCCTGCACATGCATACGCACACGCACACGCACTTTTTTTTAACATCAGTCCCTCCTGCAGCCTGATCTGAACGCTTCCTGCAATCCCATTCAAACCACGTTCGGTGAGGGGAAGGTCGGGAATAAATAACCTTGGGAGCCCCCAGGCACACACCTACTTTCTCCTTACCCAATCTAGCTCCACGCCTCCTGCCAACCGGATTCCTATTTTGTCGCTAGAAGGACCACATCATGGCAGGAGGACTGAAGAGCACCGAACCAGAGGAGGTACATGAGTGGGCTATTGTGTGTGTGTGTGTGTGTGTGTGTGTGTGTGTGTGTGTGTGTGTGTGTGTGTGTGTGTGTGTGTGTGTGGG